TATTATGAATGATTTTGTAGAGTAAAATGTTAGACAACCGAACAGCGCGACTACACGACTCAAGTGACTTTAATATATATCGGATATCATGTGTACATCAACTTCACTAATTATTAACTATTGTCACACCTCCCTTTCTAAGTTATTTAAATTTATAAATCATTGTTCAAATGTCATCTTGATTAAGTCTCTTTTAATTCACTATAAGTTCAATCTGTCTGGAGGGACAACTGTGCGTCCCGAACGAGTACGGTAGACGTCAGTAACATCTGGTGGACTGACGATGTCGATGTCAACTGGTTTCTGCTTGGTTGACGCAGTATCCTCGCAGTCGGTAAATGGTACCAGTGATGAGCGGTTGCGGCGAACCTGTCCAGCTGGTGTTTCGACGACATAAGAGCGGGGTGTATCTGCCTCTTTCTTGACGATCGCTTCTTTCTTTTGGTCAGTTATCCATACCCGTTGTCCAGGAACTAGTGTACTGAGGTCCTTTGCATTGTGGTGCAAGTCAAAGTACCCCTTCTGTTTCAGCTTTCGCTCCTCTTCCTTAGCTCTAAACTCAGAGATACCTGGCCATGAAGGGGTTAAGCTACCAGGTACTGTCGGTAAGTCAGTACGTATCTTCCTACCAAACAAGAGTTCAGCTGGAGATTTCCCATTCTCCAGTGGCGTTGCACGGTAGGCGAGTAGCGCTTTAGCTGGCTCAGTTGACTTCTTTAGCAGGTTCTTGACAGTCTGCACAGCCCTCTCTGCACCTCCGTTGGACTGTGGGTAGATTGGACTGCTTGTAACGTGACGAAAGTCCCAGTCGCTGGCGAACTTAGCAAACTCGTTGGAGTCATACTGCGGCCCATTGTCAGAGCGGACAACATCCGGGGTGCCATGTCTAGCGAAGATGGACTCCATCGCTCGTATGGTCTCAGCAGAGTTGAGAGTATTCAGCAGGCTTACTTCTACGTACTTGGAGAAGTAGTCAACAACTATAAGGTATGGTTTTCCTTTCACGAAGCACAGGTCGGTACCCAAGGATTGCCACGGACGTTCTGGTACGGCTGTTGGTATCATGGGCTCTTTATGGTTGACTCTGTGTTCGGCACACTTTCGGCAGGTTCTGACGAGGTCCTCGATCTGGCGGCTGAGTCCTGGCCACCACACCGATCGTTGGGCTCTCGCGCGGCACTTGGTGATTCCCTGGTGGCCTTCGTGTATCTTCTCTAGGATTTCTAATCGCATGTCGGACGGAATGACGATGCGATCATCTTTGACCAACAGACCATGGATCACCGTGAGGCTTCCTCTATCTGCCCAGTAAGACTGCAGGGCACTTGGCACTTTGTTGCGTTCTGGCCAACCTGCACTTGTGTATTCGAGTATCGTGCGGCATACTTCATCTTGACGCTGTCGTTCTTTGATGTTCTCTATGCGCTGATCAGTAGCAGGTAATAGCGAGTAGACAAAGTTCACGTATAGATTTATTTCATCTTGCAGATCATCTGGGTTGCTGCATTTGCTCAGCGGTGCACGAGATAACGTGTCAGCAGTGATGAGGTCCTTTCCAGCCACGTGCGATATGGAGAAGTCGAATCTCATCAACCGCATTCGTAGTCGCTGAATCCTCGGCGGAAGTTCAGATAGGTTTTTGCTACCAAACAGTGGTACGAGAGGCTTGTGGTCGGTTTCTATGTGGAAACGTTTTCCAACTAGAAAATCTTCAAAGCGTTCACAGGCCCATGTTGTAGCTAACGCTTCTTTTTCAATCTGTGCATACCGCGTCTCAGTGTCGGTAAGCGCTCTCGAGATGTAGGCGACTGGTTTCCACACGTCAGCATGCTTTTGCTTGAGCACAGCCCCTAGACCATATGATGAGGCGTCAGCGGACACTCTTGTCTCTAGAGTAGGGTCGTAGATGGCTAAGGTAGGCGTTGAGCTCAGCTTGTCTTTGATGACCTCAAACGCTGTAGCTTGCGCTTCGTTCCACACCCACGCATTCTCTTTCACAAGGAGTTCCCTTAACGGTTTCGTCAGATCGGCAAGGTTCGGTATGTACTTCCCAACCTGGTTAACCATACCGAGAAATCGTCTCAGGTCAGACACATCAGATGGTTCTGCCATCTCTTTTATCGCTTCCACTTTAGATGGATCGATCCGGATTCCGTCTTTTCCCACAATATGACCAAGGAACTTGACGTTGTCACACTCAAATTGGCATTTGTCGGCGTTCAAAGTAACTTTAGCGTCTTGTAAACGTGTGAGGACAGCATTAAGTCTCTCTCCGTGCTCTGTTTTGTCTTTACCATGAACGAGCATATCGTCGACTTGGCACACAACTCCGGGCAGTCCCTCTAGGATGCGCTGCATCGTCTTTTGAAAGTGTTCTGGCGCTGAAGAAATTCCAAAGGGTAAACGTTTGTAGCAGTATCGTCCCCAGGGGGTTATAAAGGTAGTAACTACTTTTGACTTCTCCTCGAGCTTGCGCTGCCAAAATCCAGAGTTTGCATCTAGTTTTGAGCACACATTAGCACCAGCTAGGTTTGCTAATGTCTCTTCCGTTGTAGGCATCTGATGAACTTCTCTCAGGATCGCCTTGTTGAGTTGTACGAAGTCTCCACAGATACGTACTTTCCCGTTGTCTTTTGGAACCACGACCATGGGAGAACACCAATCAGTCGGGCCATCCACTTTCTCGATGACGTCCATCCGTTCCATTCGGTCGAGTTCGGCTTGTATCCGGTCGCGTAGTGGAATTGCAATCCTTCTAGGCGTAGTAAGGTTGAATGGTTTCACGTCCGGCTTGAGTTTGATTTCATATTCACCGTCCATGCATCCCATTCCGGTAAATAATTTAGGAAACTGTTGTTTGACATCACTCGCGTCGGTCGTTGACACAGCTTCCACTCTAGCTATACCACCAAGCGCTGTAGAAGCGGCTCTACTTAGGAGTGGTGTCTCTAGGTCTTTGATAACATAAATCTCTCCTTTTGTTGTCTTCCCGTTGAGCTCCAACGTAGCATCGATCGTCCCTAGACACTTCATATGAGTCCTACACGGACCATACAGTCTCTTGTTTGTGTCACGCAACGAATAAGATGACAACAAAGTTTTGTACATTTCATCACCTATTACAGTGACGTCAGCACCGCTATCGAGTTTAAAGTCGATTACGACGTTGTTGACTTTGACCTTTGCTTTCCATGCTTTGTTTCCTCCGCCTGAGATCTCCCCAAAGAAATACTCATCATCGGTTTCTTCTGTTTCAACGGCGTTTACTTTTGCAGACCTGCATACTTTAGAGAAATGTCCCTTCTTGTTGCAGTTATGGCATTGAGCGTCTTTCGCAGGACACGCACTTCGCTTGTGGTTCGTGTTTCCACAACGTTGGCACCTGGTTTCACTTGCACTGGCGCTCGCGGTTGGCTTACTAGCATTCCTAGCATTCCGCGGTTTCCCGTTTTTCCTTGTATTAATTGCATCAACGTTGGCTTGGCTGGGTGAACTATTGACCTGGTCTGGGTTTCGTAAAACTTGCTGTTGTTTCTTGACAGATTCACTTTGTCGGGCGATTTCGATGGCTTTTTCTAATGTTAATTTAGAATCTAGCTGAAGTTTTTCGCTCAGTTTAGCGTCAGCCAGTCCTACGACGATACGATCGCGAATTAGTTGTTTTCGCAAATCGCCAAACTCACAGTGTTCGGAGAGGGAATATAAAGCAGTGATGAATGTATCGACAGACTCCTGTTGTTCTTGTCTTCTCAAATTAAACTTCGCCCTCTCGAAGATCACGTTTCTTGTCGCTACGAAGTGGTCGTCAAACTTCTCTTTTACTCTCCTGTAGTCTGATGCTTCGTCTTTCTTGAAGGTGAAACTCTTCATAATTTCGTCTCCTTCTTCTCCCATTGTATACAACAGTGTGTTGACTTGTTGGTCTCCTTCGGCGATATTTAGTCCGGAGGCAATTCTATAACGCTCGAATCGCTGGATCCATTTGGTCCACCCTTCAGGCTTCCTGAAGTCAAACTGACTTGGCGGTTTTATGTGTGAGGCCATCTAGAGTCCTAAGACTTCTGACACCATGTAATATTATGAATGATTTTGTAGAGTAAAATGTTAGACAACCGAACAGCGCGACTACACGACTCAAGTGACTTTAATATATATCGGATATCATGTGTACATCAACTTCACTAATT